TATGGATGGCAAGGACTGGATGATGATTTTGAATAAGCAAAACAATTAAAAAAAGTTAAAAAGATTGAATAAAAGGAATTGTATCAGAAACTTTCATGCATTCGAGACAGGAGGGCGGGGCGGAGACAGTGTGAGAGTGAGTCCGGGGTATCTTTTGCAGTGAGTATTTGTTATCGCGATTGGCGAGTAAGAAAAAGTGAGGAAAAACATCTGAGCTAAAGTTCTATAAGAGACAGAAGTAATTGTCGACTTAGTCTATTCCCATTGCTTGTAATTGTCTTGAGGCTACTTCATACGGCTTTGAAGCGGTATTCAGTTTTTGTATATGTGTGTGCGGAGACGTTGCTACCCGGGGCCGCTTCTTAAATTGTTTTGTCTCGAAAAACCGACAAACATCAAGTTTCGCTAAGCCTTTTTCGCTCTTTCAAACGGTGCATCATTCAGAGAGTCTGAACAAACTTTAGAGCCACACTGCAACGAGAAAACGAGGATTTGTATATTCTTCAACGTTTTTTCAAATCTCACAACTGTGCCAGGTTTCACAGTCTAAAAATCTCTATGGCATTAAGGGCACATTCAGTCTCCCCTCCACTTTTACACCTTGTTGTCAAATGGGGAGCACACGTTCCACTGAGCTCAAATTTATAGCAGAGATAGAATATCCGAAAAGAAAATAGATGTGTCTTTGCCCAGAATTTGGTGAGATCTTCTTCTATGGGTTTTCTGGAAGACTCCAGTTTTCATCCAGTCTCTTTACGACCCCTTGAAAAAATCGTCCGATCGTGCTCAAATTTTTACCGCAGATACTTTAGGCCCTATGTGAGGAGTAAAATTTTTCCTTTCAGAAAATATGCCTTCCTTTTTGAGATATCCCAAAACTCCTGTATAGAAAACCGGTTTTTGATCTTAGATTAGAAAACCGGTTTTTTTGCTCATAATTAATTCCTAAAACACATACCAAACATGTTGAAAAGTAAACTAAGGTCGTATTTTAAAATAAACCATAAATTCTACCAACAATTTGTGAAAATCAAATACTGTAAAGCGTCACTAACGTCGCGATAAATGCGAGATTTCTATTCATACTGTTTCAACCATTTTAACGAACTAAACTCAATGTTTCAACGACTTCCCGCATCCTCGTTCTACAGTGAGGAGACATATCCCGATCGAGATATTAATTTTTTTTCTATATCCTGGTCATTAGTTTTTCAAATCTCACAACTGTGACAGATTTCAAAGTCTAAAAATCTCTATGGCATTAATAGATAACTCTTTTAATTGCAAAATGCAAACGTCTCATATAAAAAGAAAGATTCTTTTTCTAGCGTGTTATCATCGACTTCTTCTTTATCCTTGCGGAATCTCTGTTTTTCGAATAAAACAAATTACAGAGCGTCCAATTTTCAGTCGTGTATCTTAGTTTTTCTCACTATGCGTTTTTTCGATTGTCCTTTCAATCCACATCACAATACGACCCCCACCCAAAAAATGGTGCGATCGAGTTTAAATTTTTACAACAGATACTTCAGCTCCTATCTTAGGAGTAAAATGTTTTTTAAGTGTTCTGAATTGGAAAACGCAAACGTCATTCTTTTTGTAGCGTGTTATCATCGACTTATTCCTTATTCTTGTGGAATCTCTGTTTTTCGAATAAAACAAATTACAGAGCGTCCAATTTTCAATCTTGTATAGTCAACATCTTTTACAGTTCTACTAAAGCTTTCACAATATATATTAGTTTTCCACATTAAAAAATTACCTTCATTGACATCTAATTGTAGACATTTAACATTCAAATCTGTAATATTATTTGGATTCAATAATAGATAAATTAAATCAGAATAATATTTTACAGTTATTTTTAATTGGTTAATTGTTGGTGAAAAATCAAATATTCGAGATAAATGAATATTCTCTATAATAACGACTGATAAATTAGTTTTATTCGAAAATAAATATCGATGAACATTTTCATTATGAGAAATTGAATTTTTATATGGATTCCCATCAAATAAAATATGTAAATAAGAGATGGTTGATGTAATCGGTGAACAATCAAGAAAACGTTTACAGTTAATCGATAATAATGTCAAATTAGTTAAATTTGGAAACAGAATTTTTGTATCAGAAGCACAAAATAAAAATTGAAATTGTTCATTTTCATTTAAAACTAAATGTTTTATTTTTAAACGCATATTATTTGTTTGGTTCCGCCCATCATCTGTCATCATCTGTCTTAATCATTATTACCATTGAGCCAGCTCGAATGTATTGAATTGGTCTCGAAATTAAAAATTCGATAAGTATTATCTGTGGTTTCACGGAAAAGGTATAAAAACTAGCTATTTTCAGATCGAACACAAAGCACAACAAAATCTTAATGGTCTCAATACAAAAAATCAAATGTTGAACTGTGGTAAGAAATCATATTTGGAATTGCTTTCTAAATGACAAACAGAAATGGACAAGATTTTTGTTCTTCTTTCAGTATATCTAATCATGAATAACTATCAATTGCCATTGACTGTTAAACTGAAAGATCATTTTCTGTTAATATAACTTCTTCTCCTATATTTCCATTCGTGGATAGTATATTTTCAATAGCTTTAAATTTATTTTAGATTATCAAATACATGCTGATCCAGAAACACAAGAATTATCATTGCTAGATATTATGAATGTTCTTAATGTAGACATGGACAACGAAACACCAGCTAATTTAAAAATTTCCTATGATAAGCTACGTAAGACATTTTTTTCCTACAAACGAAAGAAAGATTTATTTAATAGCTGAATATTAGAGACGCCGAAACCACGGATTACAAGTGTACTAACATGAATTCTGCAGAGTGAAAGAAAGAACACATCGTAGTACTTTAAACTAGTGAACGAATTGAAACTGGATTTTCTATTTGTATGCTACTGCTTATTGAATGAAAAAAAAATTATCAACAAATGCATAACTCAGCACTGAGATGTGGAGGTGTACTGCAAAACAGAGATGAAACAGATCTCATAATATAGACATTGATTTTTGAATGCAAGCCGTATTCATTTACTGTATTTCTTCTCGCTAGGCACAAGTGGTATTTCAACGTGCTTAGTTATTGTAATTATTATTCGAGTTGATAATGGTCCCAAACAAGTATTTATTCACCATCACTCGAATTTTGAAGAAATAGGTTGCTCCAGTAACTCCCAACCGATTGATGAGCAGAAAAGAACTTTTGCATTAGCATATCTGAATACATTTATGACAATGCTGCATGATTCTATTGTTCCTGCTGACGAAATTGATTACTTAATGCTTTCTGTCTCTATATTGGACTTCGATCATGATTTTGGACATCCAATTTATTACTCAAAATCCAATCGTATTCTGGGACATAAAACTGATGGGTCATTATACAGAGTAGTTGTTCCTGATATACCTGATACCGGTAATTCTTATTCTATGACAGAAAGAAATGAACTTGTTCCTTTGTCTCAAGTGACAATTATTGATGCTTATTTGGCTGGTGGAGCTTTTGATGATGAGGGAATTATTCAATTTTATTCTGGTCTAAATTCATTAGTACAAAACTTACCATCAAATGAATCACCTATAGTTTTTCTATTATTACAAAAAGTTAGTGTTATACCACCATTCGCAAGTGTTATGGATGACGAAGAGGAAGCTGTTGAAAAAGAAGTAAGTGAGATCTTAAGGTTGAAACCGACAATGGAGTCATGGTTTTTCGACACTAATTAGGTGGGCTCGAGTTTTATAAAGAAAAAGCGCGCTTCCGAAATAGTTGAAGTAAATGGTTTACTCAAAGACAAAAAAACGTTTGTTCTACAAACTTGCAGAAATCAGAAAGTGCAATAGAAGAAGTCCTAAGATGCACGAAGTAAAAATAGGCTAGCCAAACAATTGTTGTTCAAAAATAAAAAACATTTTCATGATCTGAAGTGGTCCTGGTCCCAAAAATTGGGACGACACCGGACGATACGGAGCCCTCAAATATAATGGCTCACGACATTCTGCTTTTCTTTTTATTTAGGATGTTGATGAAGTGTTGGACATGAGTTTGATAGTCACCATTGGTCAAACAACAGAAGAAGTCAAAATTTATTGTTCTTATTCATTTGGAACAGAAGATTTGTGGATATTAACATTAATTATTGACAGTGATAAAAAACAATTTTCATCAATTATAAATTATGAGGAATTATTAGAACTAATCGAAAATGATCATCGTACAGAAGCAATAGGTTATATGATGTTTAAATCACTTGAAGAAATGTCTAAAGAACTAATTGTAACCAAACATAATATGGCTGGATTAGATACTATACGAAAACAATTAGACAATCTTACGCATACCTTAGCTTCTATGTTTGTAGACCCTTGAAGTTTTACTGTTTTTTTTCTGTTCTCTGTTTGCTATGTGTGTCTTATATATACACTACAAAAAAATTCGTTATCATTCTTCTATTCTTATCCGCTTCCTTAATTGTTATTCCAGATAATTCAAAATGTTTTTTGATCGTCAGTTTTTCTATGATGGTTCAGGTTACGGTCAAAGTCAACCTTTTAGTCATCTTCTTTCTGTTGCGTATCCACTGTCAAGTCTTATAAACGAATCATCATGTTCAAGAGCCAATACAACGGCAATTACAATATTTATTATAAAAAACTAGTCACATACAAATCGGATGATGAAGAAGAGAGTGGAAAAGGTAGTGCAGAATAAGATGAAGAAACGCCACAAACAAGAATATTTGTTTCGAGAGAGACAGTGTTCCATAAAGTGATATATACTAATGTGCTTCAACTATGTCAGCTATTTCTGGCTCATAAAAACTGCACATATGCGGAATGGAAGAGACTGAGCTTGATTCAAAAACACTTTCTTTCAAGTTTAGTATCGCGTTCGGAGGTACTCTCTTCTAGCTATTGAAAAACACTACTATGGTCAATATAAACCGTTAATACGATAGGTATAAGCGTTTGGGTTTTTTAAACACACAAAGTGTGATTGCATTTTCACAGACGATACGATCAACACAATCATTTACGACAATTTTATCCGCTTTTAAGGTAAAAATAACTTTTTCTATCACATCCGTCAGGACATTTTCATTTCTTAACGATGTGTGATTAAGCAGATTAGCAGACAGACTTTAACAGATTTTGCTGTAGAAATCTTTTAGATGACGTAACCAAAATTATGTACTTTTTCCAACAAAAACAAAAGTCATACCTTATTTTTAATTATTTTACCATCACAGACTGTTTGAGACTTTAAAATGTGACAAATTTTCAATACATCCAGTTTTGTTTAACAATGAAGTGTTTAGTCGTGTGTGTATGTTTGTGGATAAAAACAATACGTATACGACAGAAAAACACAAACCGCATGGTAAGCATGACGATCAACGAGTGTAGCTCTTGGTTCTCTTGAATATCCGTTTGTTTTTGTACTCGTCTTTCTCCATAGACAAACTGTTAGTGTTCTTTTTCTCAAAAAAAATTGCATATATCAATACAGCTACGCACATGTGTAGGCTGTATTTTCTTCTTTTGATTCAAAACGGACGCTTCAAGTCAAACAGAAGAAAAGTTGATACTTATTCGAACATTTCCTTGTTTTAGAATGTAAACTAAGTTACTATATACTCCTTTATCAAAGTATTTGTCGATGAATATGCAATTACGAAAAACTAGGAAAAGTCGTTAAAGAGGTTTTTGGGTCACTTTCCATAGAATACATGTGCCATTTTTTCCGTATGTAGCCGTAACAAATGCTCCTCACATAGTTCGTACTGCTATTCGACAGTTCAGTTTGCGAAGTTTAGCCCACATCTTCACGATCTTTTATTATTGGGTGTTTGCTCCAATAAAACAGGGAATTTGATGTCAAAAGACTTTCTGATGAGTGAGTACATGTTGGAATGACTGAGAAAAGGAAAAGTCAGAATAAAATGAACTTATCAGTTTTTCCGCGATGATTTGAACCTCGATAATCGATTTAACATCGGACATTTTTGTTATTCAGGAATCTATGTTAAATTTCAATGTAAAATGTTGTTTTATTTGAAGTCGAGGTCGAGTAGTATCTACAGCCAGGAGCATGTATAAAAGTCGCACATGTGTGAACATATACGCACTACAAGGAAGAAATTTACTTGCACGAAGACTTTCGTATAATTTGATTTACCTGAAAAATATGTTATGCATTTAATGTTACTTATATCTATTGCATAAGTGTATCTCTACTATAAACTATGAATTCATATCGTACAAGTTCCATAGTTGTTATACAAACGAACTCAAAAGAAGGTGGAGTATGAAAAAAGAGAGAAGTAGAGAGAGAAAAGTAGTCACAGAAAAAGTGTAAGAATATTTTATTTCCTTGAAAATTATTCATCGGTTTTTTCCGCTCTGTAACTATAATAGAACGTAATATCCATGTATGTACAGAATGAGAAATGTATGAGCGATATAAGTGTATGTTATAGGCTGATGGTAGACATTATAAGATAACCAAAGTTGACTATTGACTAAGAAAATAATTTAGACTAGTCCCATAATAGCAAAGAGTTGATCATACTTTAAATCGATCTATATAACATAACACAAACGAAAAAAATGTTATGAACAATTTATCAATAAAAATTAAGTTCGAAAGTGGATGCGTTCTTTCAAACAACTAAGATCTAGCAGAGCTACCGTAGACTTCCTTTATTTTTAAAAATAACAATTCAAATGTGTAATGAATTTATATAATGAGTTCTTCTCTTCTTGGTCGTTTCTTTTACACCACTCACATTATATCACTCTCTCTCTCGCGGAGCAGTATATATACTCATGTCTTCAGTTTGTACAATAGCTGAGGTTCCACCCACAAAATGGTATCATTGACCGATCTACCTACCGAAATTCTATTATACATATTGGAATTTCTCGAAAATAAAATTGATATTTTCTGTTCATTTTATGGTATACATAATAAACGTTTATATCAATTAATGAAAACAAATTTTACTGAATCTGCAGTTGATCTATCAGTACCATTAATATTTGACAGTAATATTCTGAATTACAAATTTCTATTAAATAATATGCGTTTAAAAATAAAACATTTAGTTTTAAATGAAAATGAACAATTTCAATTTTTATTTTGTGCTTCTGATACA